ATCTTAACTTAGAAACATTTAATAAAAATATAAATTTTAATTATAATTTTGTAGGAAAATTAAATTTAATCTCAATTTAAAAAGAGACAAAATTTATCCATTAAAAAAAATAACTGAATCTAGAAATTTAACAAATATGGATTAAATATGTTTTTAGTCCCTAAACTATTGGTCGTTTCTGGTTTTCGTCCCTCTTCCAAAGTAAGGTACAATTTGGTCCTCATTCTTTAGAAAAACGTTCGTTTTAGTCCTCAAAATTTTGTTTTTAGTCCTCGTTTTAGTCCTCAAAACGTTCGTTTTTCGACTAAAACGGACGTTTTTTAAAGATTGAAGACTAAATTGCACCTTACTTTGGAAGAGGGACGAAAACCAGAAATGGTCAATAGTTTAGGGACTAAAAACATATTTAACCCAACAAATATAATGATAAAATGTAATATAAAACACTCATACGTAACTTTAATACTATCACATAACATTGTTATTTCCAACGTGATATGATACTAGATAAAAGTTGTTAATTATTTAAATAGTATTAGTAAACATGACTAAATTGAAAAAAGTTAATGAAAATTAGAAACAATTTGAAAAAAATTAAAACTGAATTAAACTAACTAAAAAAATAAAACCAAATTATTCGTATTTAAGTTTAGTATAAAGCATAGTTGTTTTGTTAACATTATTTCTCTTTTGAGAAGATATCAATGTATACCAAAAATCTTTCTCAAATAATTAAATAATTTAGGAACATGATCCACATAATCAATACAATTAAATAGTTCGTGCATGTGATGAAATTAATGCATTATAACACGTGTCTACTTGATAACATCATGAACATGAAATATCTCTTTGATTTATTAACTGTTAATTTCGGATGAAATATTTTTTAGCTATAATTTTACATATGCAAGACTTTGAACCTAATATTACGCTTAAGGGTCTCATTTCTATTTCACTCATACCGGTGTTTGTAATTATATTAAATAATTTAAAATTAAAAATTTATTTTGAGCTGCTAGATTGTTCATTTTTAAATTGCAGTTGAAAATTTTCACCTTATTTATTTTCTTTCTTTATTGCTTCTGTTTTCTGATTTGCCGCTTCTATGTTTGTGTGCTTCCAAAAGTCGTTTGGGGATGACGCAGACACATACAGAGTTACTGTTGTTCTTAGGTGTGTAACTTCACAATGCTAAAAATAAGTATCTTATTAGAGTATTGATTAAGGATTTTAAAAGTAACATTATTATATTTTAATTATGATTTTGAATGTGATTTCGGTAAAAACAGACAAACATATAGACAGAAGCATAGACCGTGTAATAGGTTTTACCATGTGTGTGGTGGGAAAAAAAGGTAATAATGGTATGTCGTGCTTTTACACTTAGAATTGAGTTGTTGAGTTGGTTCTGAAATGGTGAACAGCTAGGTCGGGTAGCTCAATTAAGGAATGGGATATCCCCAAGAATGTGGTGGTTGATGAATCACATGATGCTGCGGTCCAGCTATTCGAATTAATTAAGTAGTTAGTTCATTTTTTCTTTCTTGTTGAAAATCAAACTAATTATTTACTGATATGACAAGGATGATGTTTGCTTGCAAGTGTTGGCGGTGGAAGCCTGCATTCTCAACTTGGTTGCATGGACTGTAGCTTTTCTTTTTCTCCTCCAAAGTGAAGTTGTTCATCTAAATTTGATTCACAAATAATGGCGGGGTAGATGTGAATCTAGATGTTATTATGAGAATAAATGCTTATCATATTGTATAAACAATATTATTCATCATATTTTATATAGGACCCTTCAAAGATTCATTTTATTGATTCCGATTTTCGAGTGGGATGTACAAATTCATTTCATAACATTTGAAACTACAAAAAAAATATATAATACTGTTGATAGAATTTCATTGACAATAAAAATTTTGTTGGTAAAATAATATTTTTTTTACTCTAAAAAATTTATAAAACAAATTATCGATGGATTTTATTTAAGAAAAAATTTAATTATTGATGAATATTTTAGTTGATAAATGTATCAGTAATATATGTCTATAATGGATATATAAATAAAATTTGTTGGTAATATAAATTTTTATTATTGATAGATATTTTTGTTAATAAAATGGGTGTAATAGTTTTTGTTTCAATTTTGATCATGTTATACAATTAGAAATGAATCTTTTTAAAGGGTTGTTGTTAATTTTTTGAAAATTTGTTGATAATAAATTCGTTGATAGTTGAACATGCTAGAATTCATTAACAAATTTGTTGATAATTATATTTTTTAGAATCGAACAATATATTCATTGATAAAATATATTTCAATGTTCCCACAAACTCACCAAATTAGTGTTTTAAATCAAATGCAAATAGGTGAGTATTTTAATAACAAATTTTTGGTCATCGGTATAACTTATAAGTAATTTTACTTTAGTAATAAATTTTTGTGTTTACCTATCAATTTTGACCATCAATAATATTATACTTTTTAAATTTTTATTTTATTTTTTTAGAGGATATTGCATTGGTTTAACCTAACAAACGATATAATATGGTTACTTTCACTATGCAATTTATCATATCGTTTCTTCATGAATCGATGTAATATCTTGTTGTAATAATTCTATTCTGCATCATTGTTATGTTTATTTTCTATTATTGATGACTTTGGATGACTTTTTCCTTACTAATTTTTTGGTTACTTTCTTATATAAAAATACTAAAGTTGTTATAAATATTTATTTGACCACTTGAACGCGTTTTAAAAAGAAAGCAAATATTTTTAAAATTAATCTAATTTTTTTTATTAAAATTACAAACAAAAAATAAAACTGCACGCAATTTATATCTTTTGCCAACAATGTTATTGGTGACAGAGAACACTATTTTCTACCATCAAGACATTCATCCTATAATTAATAAAACATAAATCATCAACCTTAATAGCTCTTATATTTTTTTTTTTTTCTGATAAAAAAATCAGCCTTAATATCTCTGAATAGGTGAAATTAAACCTACAAACATTGGAACTCTAATTAACTGGTTACGTAGGTACATTTCTATCCGAAGCCAATTGAAATCTTAAAATTAATTTCCCTTTCAGTATAGCTCCATTGCATCTAAAAAAATAGAACAAAATAAAGGGAAAAGTTACCTAATAATAAGTTAACCTTATGAAGAAATTGCTACAAAATACAAATATATATACCTACTCTCAATCCACCACCTATTTAAGTCCCCACAAAATTCGCATGAAAGGAAGAACAAACAAAATGCATACTAAGGAATAGAAGAGGCCAAGAATGGAGGCTGTGCCCAGACACATTCAGAGAACTCTCTCACACTCTATCCATTCTTCAAATTACAATACTATATACATTAACTACACAGACAAAAGAATTTAACAAGTAAACGAGAACCATTATCATTGTTATGTAAATTTATAAGAACCAAATAGACAAATTATTTAATATAAAGATTAGAACCAACAGAAAAACACATTTAACCTTATAATAATATGACTGATTTAGAAAACGTTGAAATTCACACAAAATCAGTTACTAAGAAACGATGAAAAGTATTCATCTAATACAAAATGAAACGGAATACTGCATGTATATTGGTCAGTTTTCTAATAACTGATGTATATTATTTATGACACGCATTCTTTAATTTTACATACCCTATAATCATACTCTTTTATTTTCTTATTGCAACAATTTTCTATGATTATATTATTTACTCAAAGACAGTGACGGAAGCACATTCAAACCTAAAAGCCATTGAAAATGCTGGTACTTTATTTTTAACAAGCATTCTTTGACTAAAAGTACATTTTAATATTAAAGTATTATGAAATAATATGACTGTCACTGTGTATTGATGAAGCAAGCTGTACATGTGGTGGGGTGGCCAATCGTCCAGAAATGCTATATATTTCTTAAACTGGACTAAACATTAACATGTGAAGTTTTTTTAATTTGATTTCAGTGAGATGGCTGAAAATGTTTCTCACATCACATGCCAATCCCATGTATATGACATTGAACCGACAGATAATACACATAGCAGTAGGGCAAGTTTTCAAGCTATAAATGAGAAAAACAGTATAAAAACGTAAGGGTCTTCAACATTTCATAATTGCCATCTGCCAATCGCAGTCACTTCCAGAAAATTTTTCTAACTTCACTTTTTACTCACTAAAAATGGAAGAAAATTAATCACTCTGTATCCTTCACCTCGACCCGTTACATCCAGCCTTAAATATATTTACCAACTAAAGTCGTTCTGTTGGATACCAAATAACACCAATTTCCATCGTCATCAAGAGCCGTGTTCTTTCAAGTGTGTCATTAGAGATTGAATCTTCAGTGTATACAAATTTTCTTTTCGAGATATTAGTACTATAAATAAATTTTAACAATTTCAGAAATTAGTTCTCAGTTCTTTATCAAGATTCTAATAATTTACTTCAAAATAAGAATTTGTACGTGTACAAACTTCATTTTTGTAGATTTTGATTCTTGACAATACAAAGAGGGAACATGTTTCACAGAAAATTATGAACAACCACTTTCCTGATAAACGAAAATGTCCCATTTAGCACCTGATAATGAATAAGATAATTCACAGCAGAAACCCCAAAAAGGATACTCACTATTTAAACTCCTACAGTGACTGGAGCAAGCTAGTTGCTTTCAGTAGTGTTTTTTCTAATCGAGATATTATCATTTTTGTTAATAGCTATTAATCGAACTACGTTGTACTTAAATAAAGTAGTTGATGGTTGGGACATGACAATTAAGATTTCACCGGCCCGTGGATTTATCTTTAGAAACAAAGTTTGAACTTTTGACGGTGTTCGATAGTTGAGATCTCGATAAGTCTACGTGTATTAATGGTGTGTGTGCGCTTGTTCACACTATAAATAACTCCTTTCTGCCCAAGCTTTCTCCACAGAAAGCATTTTCTGCCCTATTTTCTCTATCTGTGTAAGGATGGGAAAGTTACAAAGCTATGTTGCAGTACTTGCTGTGGCATTTGTATTAGTGATAGGAGCAGCAGAATGCAGAAAAATTAAAGAAAATGAGTTAGTTGACGGTTTTGGAAGCGGCTTAGGTGGAATTGGAGGTGGACATGGTGGTGGATTTGGGGCAGGAATTGGTGGTGGCGGTGGTGCTGGTGGCGGATTTGGAGGTGGAAAAGGTGGTGGTCTAGGAGGAGGATTCGGAGGTGGGCACGGTGGTGGCGGAGGAGCAGGAGGAGGCATTGGAGGAGGTGCTGGAGGTGGTTTTGGAGGTGGCAAAGGCGGCGGTGTCGGAGGAGGAGTTGGTGGTGGAGGAGGGGCAGGAGGAGGCATTGGAGGAGGTGCAGGTGGAGGTGCAGGTGGTGGTTTTGGAGGTGGAAAAGGTGGTGGCGTTGGTGGTGGGGGAGGAGCAGGAGGAGGCATTGGAGGAGGTGCAGGTGGAGGTGCTGGTGGTGGTTTTGGAGGTGGAAAAGGTGGAGGCGTGGGAGGAGGAGTTGGTGGTGGAGGAGGGGCAGGAGGAGGCGTTGGAGGTGGGGCAGGTGGAGGAGCTGGCGGTGGACTAGGAGGAGGGGCAGGCGGAGGAGTTGGAGGTGGGGCAGGTGGAGGAGCTGGAGGTGGTGTAGGAGGAGGGGCAGGCGGAGGAGCTGGAGGTGGTGTAGGAGGAGGGGCAGGCGGAGGAATTGGAGGTGGTG